TTTGAATATGTGGGATTGTAGAGCAACCTGAGTTCTACAAAATGAGACGTAATGCGACTCTGACAAAGATTCCATTTAATTATGACAAACTCAACAATCTTTACGCACTATTACAAGTACTTAAACAGAAAACATATGTTGTAAGTTTTATTATTTTTCCGTACTGATCCTTTTTCACACAAAAATTCCCAATCGTATGAAATAAAACTTGAAAGGTTTTTCTATCAAACAAAAAGACGACCTTGAAGTTTGGTTAAGAAATGGCGGAGTTATTAGGATTTTTTTCCCGCCGGACTTTTGGGACACCCTGTGATTAGTAAGTTAATTTAAAAACAATGAATATTTAAATATAGTTAGTTCTTTAGGTTAATACAGCATGTGAAGGAACTACCGGGACTCTTCCGTCAATATCGACTATGTCTCGACATGGATCTATTTTTTATGATACACCAGAAGCTCTTAGTGCTCTTCTTCTAAATGGAGATAAAGATGAAATTGAAAAAATGATATGTAAATATTTAGATCCAATTTAACTTAAAATATTTCTTCTTAAAGTGACTCCAAATAAATTCAATTGAGTGAACTTCAGAAGAGAATTTTTCTCATTCAAATATTCTTTAATAATGATAACTTTTCAAATATAGTCAAAAGGAATAATTTTCATCATAAAATACAATATTATCTTTTATTAATATGGTTGTTCAAATATATTACTTGATTAACAACTCAGTTGCTTTTTTGAATGTGCACATTAGACATAATTATCATCAGAAAGAGCATGGATGGATTTTCTAGGAAAATTAAGAGCTATGCGATAGCATTACTCATCATCTACAGCTTCAAAGGTAATTAGTTCTACTCTTTCAACATATCATTTTATACTGGTACAACGATATACATCATTGAAAGGATTGACCTATTATATAGGGCACTATAGTGAGGTTGCCGCCTAAACAACAGACTAGATGTTCATCAGTATGAAAACTTACTGTAAATAAGACCAAAGTAATATTTTGAAAGAATAGAGTTGATTACCTTCGAAACTATGTATGATGAGTAATATTTTCTGTTAGTTTTCAAACAGAGTCGATTTAACTAACAAATGTATCGTTGTCCTTTAATGATAGAAAGTGTTATAGATGAATTAGTAAAATAATAATAATTATTCTTGATTATTATTGGTGTTTTACTCGCGTAGTTTATAGCACTTTTCATTATCAAGGGTAAGATCAAAATGAACTGTTGTTGAGCAAGTTGAAGTGAATACATAGTGAAAAGATTCCATTGAAAGTAAGTATGTGATAGTCCATAGCTCAATGAGTCTTAAGTGCTGACTCAAAGCACTGATAATCAGCTCTTTTCTATGAGTGGAATCTATTAGTTAGCTCTTTCATATCATCTAGGTTACTGAATATCAAGTTTCATCTAATACAATACGTTTTTCAAAGCCTCAATTCAGGTCCCGTAAGCCGAAATGTATATATGAGCTGAAATATAACTTTCAAAAATATATTAGATAGGATAAAATAGGTTTTCAGTGATCTCAGCTCATATAAAAGAGAAGGTCACCCTCACCCTCAGAAAACTCTGGTTGTCACATTTAGATTATCTTTGTTTCATTAGATATATTTGACTAGAATATCAAAATCATGGATTTTAATTTTAATAGCGTTCTTGTTACTTGTTTCATCGACTGAGCTCATAAGTATTGTATAGATCCGTTATATTTATACGTTTTATTCTATATCCAAAGTTTGAAACGAACCGAACATTTTGGATTGAAGCTCTGTTTCATACGTTAACTAATCATCAAAGCAAAAGTCTAATGAAAGCACTCATCCTAAATTTGAATTTATTGTTGTTGTTTTTCTAGTCCGATTTAGAATCATCAAGTGGTGATGATGGAAGTCATGCAGGTGATATTTCTCGTCAATCAGCTATACCACCCCAATTGAATATGTTTATTTTAAAATGTTCTTTTGTTCTAAAATTTTAAAGTTTTTGATTTTTTTCTTCTAGAGCCACCTCAAATAAAATCATTACTAGCATATGCACCAGATACATCAAATATTGATTTATGGAATATAACGTGTAAGGCTATAGGAAAAGATTTATTACGTGTAACAATGCCAGTTATATTAAATGAACCATTAGATTTATTACAAAATTTATGTGAAGAAATGAAATATTGAGATTTACTTGATCGTGCCCAGGAGAATGATTCCAACAATCGCATCCGATCGGATTCCTGTCGAATCTGATCACGATTCTATTGGAATTTCTATAAGACCGACGAAATCCTATCGGATGCCGGAAAATGATCCGACATTCGGATCCTTAGTGTTGGATCTGATTGGATCCTGTTATTGGAATCTGATTGAATCCCATCGTATTATCTGATCGGCCTCTACTATTGGGATAAAATGCTAATTCGTACTCAAATAAGAAACTAGGATTCGGCTGGTCGGATCCGGTAAGATCCAATCAGATTCATTCACCTGGTTGAATCACAAACAGTTGATGTTTACTTACGTCTTGTTTATGTTGCTGCATTTATTGTAAGCTTCACATGTGATATGACGACGAAAGATATATAAGGACATTAAATCGTGGTAAATGGGTTCGATATTGGTTGAAACAATAAATATTAAGCTTAAAGATTTGACAGAACATTTTTAACATGTTCAACATGTATAAATCAATATTCATTAGATTCTCATGACCATCAGTCTAAATTATTACCATGCTCACATACACTTTGTCGTCAATGTTTAGAAAGTGCTTTAGTTCATAAGCAAGATCATATTCTATTAAATGTATGTATATAAATAATTTCCTAATTTATTTTGTTTTTTTATGAAACACGATCTCAAAGGAGTGTTGAAGTACATAGAGGTAGAAATTTGCATCCACTACTCCCCCCTTACAGATGCGACAGACATTACCACGGAAACCGTCACAGACGTGACACACATCTTAAACCGCCCACTCCAGACATCTTAGCAACAGTCCCCTCTCCCATCACAGGCCGTGACAAGCACGTTAGTAAATTCCCTAATGTACGATATGAGCAGCCCGATTGTGTTTCACATTTTAATCCCATAGCGATTGCGCCAACAGCTTTTTTTATATGAAGGTCCTGTTTGTGAAGAACACACTCTATTGCCTAGAGGTAAATAATTCAGTTTGTTTCTGTACAAAAATTAAATCGAAAAAGATTTTTTTTTCTTTTTTTATGAGGTGTTAGTTCATTTCCACCATCAGTTATAGTTAACCAATTACTTGATTTAATGGTTAGTCAACGATGTGATGTTATTCTCAAATGTGAATCATATACAAATGAAGAATTATTATTTTGTGAAACATGCGATAAAATTTTTTATCAGTTATTTGATCAACATCTAATATCAGCTAAACGTACTGTTGTACCATTTTCATTAGCTATTAAACGTATAAAGGAAATACTTTTTTTTAAAGCATCAAAAAGTAAGAACAAGTCTCCTTCTTTAACTAAATATTTACATTATAAAATTACAAAGAAAAAAAATCTTTATTAGTTAATTAAAAAAGGATCTGCATTATATACATTCGATTTGATAGTTTTAAAAAAAATAACCCTATCATTATGTGCTTGAAGAGTGATTTGAACAAAGAAATAACATTACACTGTCGATATTTATTACTAGCACAATAAACATATGGGATTGTAGAATCGAATAGAGTGGACCAAAACCTTATGAAATCATCCTTTGCATAGTCTGATGAATAATCTTATGATCCTATATTATAATATAGATCTAATGAATTGAACGTCTAGTCTTCTTTCAGATTAGAGTTTCAGCTCTAATTGCAACTCATTAAGGCAACAATGATTCGGGGACCATGCAATATTATGTAGTTTTCTTTGGTTTGACAAAAGTTTGAACGATTTTGGGTTTACAGAGCTTATGAACTCTTATAGATTTCCAAATTCAGTCGATATATATGCAAAGTGATACCGTGTGCTGTATTTTGCAAAGCATGTACACGATAAAAGGTTTTTAAAAGCTCAGTCCGTAATCAAAGGGTTAATTTAATAATGTAATGTGAAATCGAGCTCCTTTTCTCATTCAGTTTTGCATGTTTGCATTAGGAGTGCATCGGTTATTTTTTCGTATTTTTCAAAAATTCACAATAAATGTTTTTGTATTTTCATAAAAACGATTTGCAACGTTTTTCTAGAACGGCAGTTTTGTAGAGAAAACATTTCTCTACAAGATGATATATAATAGTTAATTTTAAAGGTTTTGGGTTTCTTTAAAAAGCGTTTTTGATAGAGAGGCGTATCGGTTGATAACCGCGGTTATATTAACCGACCGTAGGTTTGAGGAAAACGCTTTATAAAAGGAAACAAAAAACTTTAAAATTAACTAATATATATCATCTTGTAGAGAAATGTTTTCTCTACAAAACTGCCGTTTTAGAAAAATGTTGCAAATCGTTTTTATGAAAATACAAAACATTTATTGTGAATTTTTGAAAAATACAAAAAAATAACCGATGCACTCCTAGTTTGCATAATACAAACATATTCTCCTTCACTACTTTACTTTGCGAACATATTTTTCTTCTAATTAAGAAAAAATATCCGTAATAAAAGCACATTTTGAAGCTTTGTTTTTCTTTTGATGATGTAAAATTGAAAAGATTAATGCTTATTGCGATCTGTTATTTACTCATTTATATAATTGTACGTTATTAAGTCTGAAGATAAAAGTAAACAGTGTCTTATCCAGCGTGGGATCGAGGGGCGACGCCCTCCGGACAGCGAATCGGCTCTCCTAGAGTTCATGGCTATTAGTCAGATATTATGTGTCTGTCCTCCTAGAATTTTAAAATGCCCCTCCGGAAAAGACAACCTGGATAAAACACTGGAAGTAAAATATCTAATATTGTACAATATGCTCACGAGGGAACCTCCCGAGGTGATAAATTGCTTTTTGATCGACATCTGGTGGGTTATAGGTTATCTACCCTGCTAATTCCGAATATGACCATGGGACTTCCCCATAGCTCTTCGAAGATCCAGTCTTCTGGAAAACCAGTTTTTCAGAAACACCAAAAAATAAGCCAAGCCTTTCTTAACAATTCAGGCTTGTAGCGCGCAAATTTCTGATTAAATTGCAACATCCCCCAGCTCTACACGACCTTTCTTTGCAACGTTATAGAATTTATAAGAAGAGCCCTAAATTAATTTTTTACTTCTTATTTCTGTAGCTTTGAGCTGACAATGAACAATTTAGGGCTCTTCTTAAATTCTATAACTTTGCAAAGAAAGGTCCGTGTAGAGCTGAGGGATGTTTCAATTTAATCAGAAATTTGCGCGCTACAAGCCTGAATTGTTAAGAAAGGCTTGGCTTATTTTTTGGTGTTTCTGAAAAACTGGTTTTCTAGAAGACTGGATCTTCGAAGAGCTATGGGGAAGTCCCATGGTCATATTCGGAATCAGCAGGGTAGATAACCTATAACCCACTAGATGGCGATCAAAAAGCGATTTATCACCTCGGGAGATTCCCTCGTCAGAGAAGTGTGACACTACGTTCTTTTTTGATCTCCATTAGGCATTTTTGCTTTGATAATTTGATATATAGAGTAATTCGCTCAGAAACAATAGACTATCTGGATATAACCTTTGCCATCGCACATTTCTGTTCACATTTCTGAGATCTCCTCGAAACTCTAGATGCTTTGCTGCTATATTGCGATCTATTAGTCTTTGATATTTTCTTCCTTAGAAGTTCACGTAAATGAATTCTTTTATTCGAATGAAAGACTATGATAATATTAAAAGTAGTAATTTCCAAAGCACGATGAACCTTTTCTTTCTATGTATCATACCAGATAGTGCTGTTTGCTTTTGATGGGAAGTAGGGGTTAAATATCTGCTTTTCTCCTTCTTCACTCTCTATGATACATAACAAATAATATTTTCTCTTCTTCACAAACTGAAAGACATGCTACTGAAGTCTTGTCGTACACAATAAGTTAATGACAAAATAAGTCATTATTATAAAGATGAACGACGTTGATCTACCGTTTGCTGAGATGCTACCCAGTATTTCTACCCAGTTACGTCTTCTTCTCAACATTTTATATATCATCTTGTAGCTCGTGATGTTCTCTCTCGAGTGGTATATAACGTGGAGAGGTTAACGAGAAAATAACTAAGTATTATAAACATGAACGACGTTGCCCTACCGATTTGCTGAGGCGCTGCCGAGTATTTCGGATCTTAGGCGGTCCAGTTACATTCTCATATGAGTATTTTATATGTCATTTTGTAACTCGTGAAATTCTCTATAAAATGATATATAAAGTAGAGTGGTTGACGACAAAATAAATCATTATTGTAAAGATGAACGATTTGTTTCCAAGGGCACTGGAATGAATTTTTAAGGTCTAAAAATATGTTAGGGTTAATCGCGGACAAAAACTGCATCAGATGGGTCACCATAAGACTGGTTTGAGAGGGGGGGCCGATTTTGGCTCTTATCGTCCCCCTTCCTTTGTTCCATCTGATTTTATTCTTGGCGGGTCCACTATTTAGATTTTCCTCTAACATTCTTAGTTATCACTGCTAACGGAGTTTTTTTATGCGATCTTCTTTTCTTGAGTGATTTCTATTCTCATATGTTCGAAAAGTTTTGTTTTACAACACCGAGAGGAAGAAAAGAAATATCATACACGTGCTAGAAAGAATGAATAGAATCTTCTGAATTCGAAATGTGCAAGATATTTCACGATGAGCAGAGAGAGGAAAAAGGAAAATACAAGTTAAAAGAATAGAGCTCTACCGTTTAGTGTATCTTTATCTGTTTCTTGATGTCGCATGCAGATTATGCTTTCTTTTCTGTATGTATCCTTATGTCTGACATACAGATATCTGCATGCGACATCAAGGAAAAGATAAAGATACGTTAAACGGTAGAGCTCTAATTATTATTGATGACACGACAGACGATGCTAGGAAGACAGATAACAAAGATCTAGTAAAGGAGAAAATGCATATAGGCTACCAAATAGAAAACTATTGATAACTCACCATGCAATGATAAGAAATTTCTATTGACTACAAAAATACTTATAGTGCAATAAGGATCGAGGTCACATTGTAACTGTCACTATAAGAACCCAGAGGAATAAAAGTATCGAGTATTGGCAATCCTACCTAGATAACCCAATCCAATATCCGATAACCCAATAAAACTGACACCTATACCTAGATATTTCATAGTAGTATTGTCCAATCAGAAACGTCTACCAGACAATTTTAGATGGAGTAAATCTTTTATTGGTATGTTCTTTGTCTAATTTCAGATCTAATATATTTATATTCATTACAACCATTGCTATTCATTGTTTTGGTTTGGATAAAACATGTTTATGAACCGATGTTAACCAAACCGACGACGAATATAGCGCGTATATTTCAAACGCTTCTGAAACCGAAAACTAAACTCTTTTAAAACTATGAAATTAATTACTGAAAATTAATTAATGATTTTGTTAGTAGTAAAGTATATCTAATAAGAGAAAAATAGTTCAAGAACAAAAAAGTGCTAGATTACAATAGTTTTTCACTAATATTCAGTCTTTTGTTAAAGCTAATTTAACTTTCTTTGGACGATCTTTCTCCCTTCGTATCCCAAGTGGCTGTGAAACTTTACAATGATCCCACATCATTATTAAGCTTAATGAATGTATCATCACGTTGATCATGATTATACGATTCAGATTTAAATACTGTAAATTTATTATTGGATTCTTTTCATATTAATTGAAAACGATAAAGAGGATATTTTCTGTATTGCATAAAACGCTATGCATATAGTTTTACCGGCTTGAAAATGCTCGGTACGCATAAGCAGAAACTTTATTTTCTTTTGCAAAAGATTCGATATCACTTTCAGAAGTAGAAGAGAAGCATTCGTGCAAAGTTCGGCGAAACATTATGAATGAACAGATTTAATTGGGAATATTTTGGTAAGATACGCATGCAGACTTATATAGTTATTTGAGCATAAAAAACTTATCGATTTATTAAAGCAAAGACTTGACAATGGAAAATGGAAAAGTATGTTGTAGAAAATGTTCATAATAAGGAGAAAGGGTCGTCCAAAGAAAGTTAAACTCACTAACGTTCTGCTAAAGAACAACGAAGTTCGAAGAAATTAAGTCAGCCTTCAGTTGAAAAATGACCAAGTTTTGACGAAAAAAGAAAGAGATATGCTGAAAAACGACTCTGTTTGGGTGATAAATGAGCAATTTTGGGAGGGGAAAAACAGAGATCTGCTAAAGAACTATTAAGTTTTGAGGATTAACGGCAGTGTTTTGGTGAAACACAACAAACTTCTCTCATCAAAAGTATTTTTTCACTATAGCAGAGTAAGTTAAAAATTATGTAATTATAGAAACTAGAAGTATTTTTATTGCTCTTTTGAATCGGATGTGATAAATTATCTTTCGATCTATTTTTCAATTAAAAATTCGTGAGTTTTTCATTTGCTTTAGAAAAATAGTTGATTAGACTTAATTAATAAGTTTCATATACTAAATGAACTTTGTCCTTTTGCTAAAACACATTTTCTGAAATAGCATTCAATTCCCTGCAAGGTCACATTAGTTTTAATTTTTAATGACACATCTTGAGCCCTAAATAACATATTTCTCAATGTCATGCCTTTCTCATGAAAAGTATAGTTGTCTACCAAATCTGACTTTTGTAATACGTTTCTTTTACCATTAAGAGACGATTCGACAGCCCATCAAGAAATCAAGTCAAGAGTGAAAAATTGACATATACTTTTTATTTCATATTCGGATGCTACTGTCAACACTGGGGTTATGAAAACAAAAAAAACACTTTCTGACTTATTCTGGCTGAGTTATAGAATTTACAAAACGAACACCATCTTCGATTTGCGAAAAGTAGCTATCTCTGATATTTTGACTATAACTCCGCCGTTTTTTATCTATTCTGTTCAAGCAACATCTTATACGAAAGCCTGATAAAAGTAAACAAAATCACATAGTTCCTAATTTTTCTTAAGTAGGAAGTGACTGGTTAAAACCCACATCAATTGGCGAATTGGGATTTTGAAAGTTTTCAGTTTTCTGAGATTTTAGTCATCCAAACTTCACTTAAGAGCAAAAGTAAGGTAATATTGAAGATCAGCGTCAAAAACCGCATCAGATGATCTGCCTTTGAAATCTTCTAGAGAAATGAAAAATTTCGACAAGTTTTCGATTTTTTATGTTCGGCTTCCGGGCAAATTTTGACAAAATTTTACATTTCTCTCAAGATTCAAAGGCACATTATTTGATGCAGTTTTTGACGCTGATCCTAAATATTACCTTACTTTTGCTTTTAAGTGAAGTTTGGATGACTAAAATCTCAAAAAACTGAAAACTCGCGGTTAGTCGACCATCTTATTTTCAAGTTTTGGAACTTTTGCACCGCTTTTAAAACAAAATTGTTGCGCTCAGTTTGTGGAAAACTGAATTCTCTACCGCATGTGACCTTCGAATTTCCTAGCGAAATTCTGTTTGAAGGGTCAAAAATGGCATTTTCTCGAAAATTTTGATCTTTCAAAATTCCAATTCGCCAACTGATGTGGGTTTTAACCAGTCACTTCCTACTTCAGAAAATTAGGAACTATGTGATTTTGTTTATTTTTATCAGGCTTTCGTATAAGATGTTGTTCGAACAGAACAGATAAAAAATGGCGGAGTTATAGTCAAAATATCAGAGATAGCTACTTTTCGCAAATCGACGATGGTGTTCATTTTGTAAATTCTATAACTCAGCCAGAATAAGTCAGAAAGTGTTTTTTTTGTTTTTCATAACCCCAGTGTTGATAGTAGCATCCGAATATGAAATAAAAAGTATATGTCAATTTTTCACTCGTGACCGGTCTTTGGCAAGATACTCGATCGACCGGCGAAGTCTCTCTTAAGGAGTTAATGAGAAACTTTTGACAGTAGATGGATCAATACAGTTTTGCACAGACGACATTCTCATCTATTTAGTTTTTAAAAAGTTTTTTCTCCTTAGGTTGTAGTGAAAAATTAAAGCAAAAAGTACTTTGGAAGAGCATTTTAGGCGATGTTTGATATTTATATTTTTTCTCACTCAAACTCAATTACAAAAAAGTTTTTATTCTATATTCTTTGAAGTTCAGACTTTGCTCTTTCTAACGGAAAAACAATTAAATCGCCAGCGTATCAGAAACCTGCACAAATAATGCTTGACATTTTTTCTGTTTCTTTTGCATCGTATAATAGTGAAAAACTATCTAGCATCTAGCATTTTTTTGTCCTTGAACTATTTTTTCCTTATTACTTATACTTTACTACTGACAAAATCATTAATTAATTTTCATAAATTAATTACCGAGCTCATTTCTCTCTTTTTACCATAAAAAGTACAATTAACCCCTAGCTCATTTGTCAAATAGAATTTATTTTAGACAAAAATATATTGATGCCAACAGAAGTATATATCAAGTGACGTTCATTGGATATCGACTCATTTGATCCTAGACTGAACATGTGCAAAATACTATGAAAAGAAATTCTATTGAAAGCTAAGTGTACATAAATGAACGAGAATTATAGTAATTCAGAGTTGTCATTTTTGAGTCTGACGGACTCATATTTATTTATCATCGTCAAGCTGGAATAAATAAACTACAAGCAGAAATAAACAAACTACACATAGGAATAAACAAATGATATAAGGACATATCCATACTATCGACAACGTTTTAAATAGTGCAAAATTAAGAATACAATGAAGTTCTTGCCGGATTGTTGCATATATATATATATATGTGTGCAATAAAGATGAACAAAACCGATCACACCATCAAATATATTCTGGAAATAAGAGATAAATAACAAAATGAAATTAAAGTTCCTTTGCTCGCATTATCTGAGTAACTTTATCGACGATATACTAGTATTGAGAAAAAAACAAAAAACAAAGAAAAATCAATCAATAATTGAAGAAAATTAATGACATACGCGAGCTTCGCCAGCATTTTGATACGCGACCGTTTGTTTATGCGATGGTCGATCTTTCTTGATTAATCCAAGTACTTTTGACTCCTGGAAAATAAAAAGTTGATCTCAATGAGTTCACGTACTTTTACTATCGAAATAAAATATACTTTTAAAAGAATATGAATTTCATTCGGATCGCATTTGACAATCGGTGGTCCTTTCAAATCTTTATAATTACAGTCCCATTCAACGTCGTAGAGATCCGATGAAGTAGATTTTTCGGTTAAAAATAACAATCGTCTAAAAACAAAAATCAAATTGAATGAGCAAAGAAATTCTTTTCAACAATGACAGATATAAGATTTACTTCGAAGTAGCCAAAAGACAAGTAGTCGGATTTTCGGAACAATTAATGTGAGCAAGATAAGTATCGGATTTCGTGTGTTTTTCATCGTCGAGTCTCTGATAAATGCAAAAAAAACCAAAGAATTCAAATTCAATTGAAAAAGAAAGGTTGTTCTTTGGTTCGAAAACTAACATCGAGAATATAAAATCCTTTTATTTCATGAACACTTGAAGGTCGAATAATGCCATCTCGACCAACATGACGTGGAGGTCGAACACGATGAACAACTTCTTCATGTACGGCAGTTCTACGATAAATAAATAAATGACATATTCGAAAAAATCGGAACTAATAAGAAGCACGTAAAGCAAATTTCGAGTGAAATTTGTTTTTGACTTTATCATACATATTCTGATTCTGTCTATCGCCCGCCTACCCGACTAGTTTAATTTTTTTCAAATTTTCGCACTGAAAAATTACCACCCAAAACTGAAAATCAACCAAAAGTTTCGAAATACACGGTACTAAGTCAATTCATCGCAGGTCTTTTCGTCGCGGACATTTCGTTGCGGTCATTTAGTCGTACGGATATTTCGTCGCAGATCATTTCGTCGCACGAATATTTCGTCGCATCACTTTTGTCGCACGATTTGTTTCAACATAATTTTTTTGTCGAACAATTCATAGCATGAGATGAAATGGAAAAAACGATAGAGTGAAATAGATGCTTTAATTCGCTCTAATAATAAACTATATGCTTGATTCAATAATGAATTTTGACTAGAAGAATAATGGCAGCTTGATACTAAAATCGTTTCTTCACATAAACTATATCTTTGATTTAATTTTCTTTCATGTTCCTTTTATCGTTCAAAAACCATGTTAAAACAAATCATGTGACAAAAGTGATGCGCCTAAATGTTCGTGCGACGAAAAGATCGGCAACTAAATGTCTGCGACGAATTGTCCGCGACAAAAAGACCAACGACTAAAGGTCCGCGACGAAAAGATCTGCGATGAATTGACCGCTCACCGAAATACACGCCAGTGGACTCAGTTTTTGATCCTGATTTCGAATATGATATTTTTATTGCTCAAAAGGTGAATTTTGATCAATTGAGACTTACTGGCTGAACGCCGACTTTTTCGCCTCTGACTTCGCAAAAATGAACTTTTTGAGCAATGAAACAAAATTTGAAAAAAACTCTTCATACTTTCAAAGCTCGTTTGATGGCTGATCTAACTATGTGTAAATCAAAGGTCTAGTACTTCACAAAAAAAACGAGCAGAGTTTGTAAACAGACGTCCTCGAGAATGGACCTTTAAACGTTTGGGACTCTGACAAACTTTCGCTTTTAGCTTAAAGGCTTAAAAATAGCCTGGCTCGATTCAGTTTTGAACAAGGAATCTAAATATAGGAAGTTCGAGTCTCAAAACCATCAAGGGAAAATACTATGAAACTTCTTTCGAAAATGAAAAATTTTAGAGTTTTTGAGGTGTTTTCAGTATTTTTAGATTTTCTCTATGAAGAAAGTTGTTTTAAGGGCTGGGAATGTGATATTCGGTACCATCGTCGAACGACGAATCAGAATATGTATAATAAAGTCAAAAGCAAATTCCAGTCGAAGTTTGCTTTACGTGCATTTTAGAATCTAGACTAACCGTTTGATCAAATCAAATGATGTGCTGGTAAAATCAGCAACACCACTTGCCGGTCGTGCAACAAGACCGAGAAGACCTTTACCCAAACCTTTAATAAAACCTTGTGTGTTTCGTTTTTTCGCACCGACTACCGGTTTCGTCACTACACCCTTTGCACCACGTATAACATCCTGTTTAAAAAGCAAACCAACATGGATACTATAAAACAAAGTGTCCAACACACAAACCTTGCCGATATTCTTTCCACTTAGAATTACATCAGATACGCTATGTCCAGAAACTTCTTTACGCGCGATTCGAGCATTTTGATAATCTTTATCGAATGTCAACTTTGCCAAACCTTTACTAGCCACACCGGTGACCTTTGAAACGGCACCAGCAGCACCACCAACGGCAGAACCAACCAAATTTCGAGTACCTATTGCTATACCTTCGACGAATTCTATCGGACCTTCCATAGCACCCTGAAAGAACAATAGGATTTAACTAAAAGGAAAAAGTTCGTCAATACTTGCCATGTACGGTTCATAGAAGAATGATTCGACACCTTCGGCAACTCCACGAATAACACCGAACGGATTTCCAAGTACATCAAGACCAAGAACAACTACATGAAGTTGTCTCATTAACTGGTTTTGATAATGATTCTGGATTTCTTCGACGACTTTCGACATTGTAAATTGATCATTCTTACGTTCGTAATAGTTCAATCTAAATATACTGGAATTGTAATCGATTGAATCGTAAATAAACACACATACTTTAAAATGACATCTTGTACTTCTGCGACATTCAATGTCTGCAGTAAGAAGTCGACCAATGGATATTCGGCAAGTAACTGTTCGCTTTTTTTATCCGAGCTGTGCATCGAAAAACTGACATGAACCTATCGAATGAAAACAACTGATTACAAATGTGAAAAGCAAGATTAACTAACTGAAAGATTTGTTTGAACATCGATTAATTCGGCAAATATTGACAAAAAGTCTACCTAATTCTATAAACAAAACCAATGTCGGTTCGATCTATCGATAAAAAATCGATCTAGACTCACAGATTCTCGACAATCAGTAAAAGAAAATCACAATTTACTAATGATAAAGGACATCACATATTTATCACCGTACAAACACAATTTCAGAACGTCTATTAGAATCTAATTAAAATCGGAATAAATTCGTAGAAATTCAAGATCAATCCGGAAAGCCCTACAGTCTTAGCGAATCCATCAAACCGGCGAAGAAGTTTTTATAAGTACAAGAAAATCGGAAAAAGTCAAGGAATTATGAGTCGAGTAATAAAATTTGCTGTTTCTCCTTGGTTGTAACTGAACAACAGAATTTCATTTCAAAGTAAAATGAACGTGGAAAAGCATACCGAAATGCAAGGAAAACGAACTACGACTTTAAGTTTTGATCAAGAAACAATCGCAAACCTATTTTAAAATATAAGTTTCCCGATCAAAGATAACTGCTGGGTTATTCACGAATAGATAATTCAAAACGCACACAAAAAACACTAACAGTTGGTCGTATTTTTCAAGAAGAAAAACTGAAAGATCGTCTAAACGCTGGAGTCTTGAAATTGAATACAAATGATTTGTCAGATGATTCTTTCATCATATTGGAACATCATATGCAAAATAACATTGCATACAAACTGTTTTCATTTCAAAATTCTACACTATTTACCAATAAAATAAATTCGAAATGAACAGAAAATTATTTATGTGCAAATCAGAAACAGCAGTGTCTCAACTGATTTAATCTACTGCTAAATTATTCCAGCTTCCGTGCAGCTTTTTGTCAAAATCGTAACATAGGCGAAACAGTATAACTTCGGAGTGACATATTCCACTATTCATACTTCCGAATAGGGCATACCAAAATAAGTGAAATTTCCACAATGAACGAGTACCACTGACAATTTTATCTGTGCAAAGTTTCAATTCGATATTCACGGTGCTCTGAAGGAGAACCCGGTTCTTGTGAAACTTACTATAAAAATGGTGAGTGTACGTTTGTATCTGAAAATGTTGTGCTTCTCCTCCCTTACAGACAACGCTGGACAACGTGGATTTTCTAACCACTATTATTGTACCGTATAATAAGAGAAAAAACCGAATTAATTCAGAAAATGTGCTTTCTTTATTCGCCGCATTGATCGTTTGGTTTTGGGTCTTAAATTCTTTCTCATTTCTATTCTTTTTGTGAAATACGATTGAAACTGAGCACTGAAGTTTAGAGTGAGAAAGTTGGACTCACGCTCCTCTCCTTACACTGACCGTGACAGACAGACGACATGGTATTCTGGTTTTTCGGACCACGTTGTTATAGATTCTGGAGCATTAGACTGCTAGGTTTTCAGAGGATACCTACCCAAGTCCACTTTTTTGTTTCATTCGCGTCGCGAACGCGGTCCTCACTCCGCGATCGCACGACTCGTGCCGCAATCGCTAAAAAGTCGCCATTGTCGCGGCGCGATCGCGACCAACTCTTACTTTTGAAAAAACTATAATTCGTGATCGCGACGTGACACGTTTCTCTTACAATGATCCCGCTCGGATCGCGAAGTTGCTCCACGATCGCTAAAAAGTGACTATTGTCGCGGCACGACCGCGATGAACTCTTACTTTTTAAAAATTTGTAGTTCACCATCGCGGTGCGACTTCGCGATCTAAGCGCGATCACCATAAGAAAAAAGTGTCACGTTACGATCGTTGCTTGTTTCTTACAATCGCGGCATGATACAGCGTCGTGGCGCGTCTCACGAGCAAATCCTATTCATCGTTTTGTTTTACTTATGCACCTGCTATATAACTCTCACTGAATTTTTGAAAAACTTTCAAAATCTTATCACATCTTTATAATAGCTTACGACTAGGTATACGACGGACCGAACAACCGACTCGGGCAAGTTCGAATCGGACACTGTTTGACTCGAACACTGTTTGATTGGGACACCGCTTGACATTCGGACATGTTCGAACAGAACATTCAAACACTGTTCGACTTTTTTCATTTCTGTTAAGTGTCTGCTTAGTGCATAAATTTGACGAGTTTCTCACGTGCCAATTATTTATATCGAAAACAACGTAGTCATCTTACTCCTCAAAATTTATGTTACTCTGTATTTCTACAAGATAAACTGAAAAACTAATAGATACATACACTGAGACTGACAGAGACAGAAAATTAAATGAAATCATTTGTACATTTTGATTCTTTTCTGTTTTATAGCTGAGATATTTTTTTCTACCTTGTTTTTCTATTGACAGCTTCGTGAAGAGTGTGAGTGAGAGATGCTGAGAAACAGTAAAGTTTAGAACAGGGATGAGATTAGAATCGAAAGGGAGTTTCGAGTAGAACTGTTGATTAGCTGAAGGGGATTGTTATTTTTCTTTCTATTTTACTCATTTCTTATATTAAACAAGATTATTTTTTTTGACACATTCAAGGTTGCATCTAGTACAAGTAGTAAATTAGACTCTATAAAACTGTATAGTGACAGCGAGCACAAAATGCTTAGCACGTCAATTCACCTACAATTTTAGACGATTAAAAAAAGCTGTAAATTAATGAGAGAAAATAGCATTTGAAAACAGTCGATCAGTGTTTGAATGTTCGGTTTAAACAGGTCCCAATCGGGTAGTGTCAGAGTAAAACACTGTTTGAGTCAAACAATGTCCGAATGGAACATGCTTGAGTCAAACATCGGACATTTGTCCGGTCCGTCGAATACCTACTTACGACACGACTAATATAGTCTCGCGTACGCCATTCGTCTGCGTTCGCGGGTAAAGTAGCGCGGGTCATTTACTGATATTCACCGGAAACGCGACTAAACAATAGCTATAGTAATGAGAGTCATCGATTTTTGTATGAGCGCGAAAAAATCGCGATTACTAAAAACCGCGCGTCTTATTTCGTGAGTCTAACAGCGAACGCGTTACGCGATCCTACCGCGAATTTTTAAAGAGACTTGCGTCGCGATATGCGATAAGAAAGATTTGGGTAGGGCTCTGAATCGATATGAAAGCCTCTAGGCCAAAAACTCTTTTTTCTTTCTCTCTTTGGGTATAGTTTTTTTAGTCACGATTACAAGCCATCACAGACTGTTGGAGATTGTTCTTTCCTGACCTTGTGGCAGATCGTTACGAAAATAAGAAGCATTTTGAGGGCGAGAGTGAAACTGCTCCATCGTGTGTTACATTTTAATCCCGTAGGGCTTGCGCTGATAGCTTTCTTATTTGTTAGCGTGATATTCTAGTGTGAGTTCCACATTTTAGCCTCATCGAGATTGCGCTGACAAGATTTTTCCAATTGAATTCGATATCTCAAGAACGAAGCCTCAAACAATCAAACCATTTCAGACCAGTATTCTCGATTAGAGAGGAGCTGAAGTACTTTTCTCTTCCAAAAATTACTTTTGACCTTCTGTCAAAAATTCTGAAAAATGTTTCTTTTCTTTAGTTACTTTCTGTGAGGCAAAATCTCCGTTAGACTTTTTGTCAAATTAAAAAGAAATCATTTGGTACTGTAAGATATAGGAGACAAAATTTCTTACCTTGATTGGAGATAAATGCATATTGTCAAAGTATATTTTAGGTTCCGCTGGAATACTACTCGATTGAGCATAAGTAATTGCTTGAAGTGGCTTATCAATACGTTTTAGATCTGAGTCCATATTAATTGTAGGCGCTCCTGAAACCTAAAAATTTCACATTCACTTTAGAAATCTTCTAAGAAAATAAAATTTGAACTGAACCTCTTCCGATTTGATGAATGATAGAATTGACATGATCAAAGTTTGATCAGCACAAAAGACGAATTCTTGAACGAGTACTTTCAAATATCTGAATAATGATTCATCAAATAATTTCATGAATTTAGTAATCAATATAGATAACATACTTGATATATGTTGTATTTGATCGGGCTATTGTCGTTTTGAATAGATTCAATTCAATGAAAGGTTTTCCAGCTATAGACAAAAAAAAAGAAGAAATTCTTATGTTCTAATACAATTATCGATAGAAATCGAACATACGTATATCGGTGCCTCCTGCTTTGGAAACAATCGGATGAAGAGCAACCGGATACAGTGTAAATTCATGTTCATTATCGATTTGTATACGATTGATGCGTACATGAAGTGACGCATTACTCACCGACCGAGCAAATCCAATCCAGAGTCCATCAAGTGGTTGTCGTTGAATACGTACTCGATGACCTTCATGATCGGTCAGTTCAGCTGTATCCTCATCGAATGACACGTCCTAATTGAAAATTGATGAATATCATTTTTTTGTATGATCAAATGAACTAAATCTTACGCGATGATCGTCAATGCGATATTTCTTCTTGGCATGCTCTTCATTGTTCGGATGATCATTCAGATGTTTGATGTACGATTTATAGTGTTCATCCAAATCGTCATTGAGTTTGCGTGAAAGTGGTCGTATATGAGATTTACTTGTCTCTGTCCAGATCTCCTTCGATTTGTTTATAGTTATATAAAACAAATCGTTTCGAGTAATATCATCAATAACGGCAATGCCTATATCACGAATGCCAACTTGAATATGTTGATTCATGGCTTCACCTGACGATGGTGTCTGAAGTGCGAATGAAATAAATAGACTAATTTTTAGAACAAATAAACATCGTACACACATTTGTAACCGCTTCGATTAGATCGATTTCTTCAGCAAACAGTACTACCGTTTGAGTACCATCGTTGAATATCGTATAGTATACAGGTTGGTGAACATCTGTTTGAAGAACACCACAAAGTGGCTAAAAAAACAAATGAATTAATTACCCCGACATTGAATGGCTCATAGAACAATTGGTTTTAGACAATATCAGATCAGCATTTCTTTGACAGATCGACTTTTCATAGTGTACCTATCAAATGAATATAGCCCTGACCCAAAGACATGTATGGACAAAGTGTCTAAAGACGAATTGACGAATCGCAATTTTTAAGTGTAAAAATGATGCAACAATTCGCCTTACGCTTATTCTGAGAATTCGCAGCGAATTGATGCGAACTGTATCGAATTCGTACGGATACTCTTAAAAACTTTTACGAATTTGTAAACGTGAGAATAGACCAAACACGATGCTAATCAATTCGCAAATAATTCGTAAAAATTAGTTTACGAATTCGTGTTCACTGCTTTTAGAACTAGATTAATTCGTAAATACGAATTAGCGAATTCGTATGACTTACTGATCTAGCAGTTGAAAATGGATACTTCTAATATCAATTCGCCGCTTTTTACGAATTCGTAAAGTACGAATTGATGTCAAGGACAAGAAGCATTTCTCTGATTTTACAAATAGATAGATTCGTATCTTCGCATCCATCTCACCTAAATTCGCCGTTATTTTTACGAATTCGTAAAAAACCTGACTGAAATCCAACGAAACACGTTTGACTCACAGCCGTCTCCGCTGCCCCCACTCTCCGCACATGCACACAAAAAGGAGAGAGATTCCTCTTTATTTCCTTTTGCGTAAAACTATCAACGAATTGATGAAAGAATTGATGCGAAGAGACGATTCTTTGTTTTCTTAACCTCATAGAAAAATTTCTTGTCCTTGATATCAATTCGCATTTTACGAATTCGTAAAGGTAACGGCGAAGTGAGGTGAGAACTATGCGAATCGATGCGGTGCGAAGAGACGAATCTATCTATTTCTAGCCTCACAGAAAAATTTCTAGACAATAAAATGCGAATTTACGAATTCGCAAAAGAAACAAAAGAGGCACCTTTTTGGTTCCTTTTTGATCATTTTTGTTAGTTCACAACAATTCGCAATGAATTATGAATTCGCTGCAGATTCTCAAAATAAGCTTAAAATGCGAATTATTGTATCATTTTTACGCGCAAAAATTGCGATTCGTCAATTCATCTTTAGACACTTTGTCCACACTAATGGACCCAAAAGTGATTTGACACCTGGAGGGGTTCCTTCGTTAGACTCCTTAGGTTCAAAAATATTTTTTCATGACCGTTGGCGAACTGATTTTGCTTTTTTTTGCGTATTTTCATCTTACAATAATCTCTACTTCGATTCACTTACGTTAAGTTCGAGTGATTTACTTTGACCATTACATGACACGACTAATATTTGTGGTTTTAACGGATCCATCCATGCATAATAGACATAGTGTTGTGGTGGCAAGATTTGTGTTCGTCTATTCGAATAAATTTATTCTTTAGAGAATAAGAAGAATATAGAAAAAAAAACTTACACATCCTCTGCTTGACAGAATGCAACTGGTTGATTTTTCAAACAATTGACAAGTAGAACAGGTGAATCGCCGGTTTTGTAATCACCAAAAACAATACGAAATCCATCAAAATCGGTCGAAATAACTTCAACTTGAAGTGCCGGACGTTCTTCATCATTCATATGAAGCATTGTTCGATGTTTGTCATTGAATATGAATGCTTTTGATGCTAATCGATTATGTATATATCGTACACGCATGATACTCTGTTCGATATTACGTGGCCAAAATGGAATAATCTAATCACAACACATATGTCTATGAAGTACAAGAAATATTTTACTAAAGAAAAATTTACTCCTTCTGGTTCCACCGATCTCCATTCTGTCTCTTCTGTTTCCGATAGTACTTCAGCAACTTCCACTCCAATCTAGATTTCAAATATATGAAAAATTTACATATCATAGAGGAAAAACAAAGCATATTCATCCTACAGTTGATTTATTGATGACCACTGTCGATGGGGCGAGTGTCAAGATTTTTGTCATACCAAATGAAGTAGTCACAATATCAATACAAATCTATTATATCATAATTCGAAATAAATATCATTTAAGATAATTTTTCTCTTACCATATAAGTTCTATCATTGGCTACTTTACAACTCGTCATACCGGTACTTTTAATAACATCTAATGAAAAACCTTCGGACCATTCGGACACTGTATCATCTTCTTCCTTGCTGAAGAGACGTATATGACCCTAGAATATCAAAAGAACACTTGCTAATTGATATTTTATTTCGAATAATTTAATTGATCTACCTTTTTTTTCTTGTCACTATCAAAATTTTTCGGACATACGAAAAATGGTGGTTCGACTATTTCGATTAGTGTTTTTTCATCGTCGATCTAAAACACGAAATAGAATTCTTAGACGTTCGAATAGTCTCGATATTGACATACCTTCAATTCAAATTTCATATCAGTACAATTGATAACCCAATATGTAGAATATAATGAAACACGATACGATTCGCGATATGTATCCACACGTAAGAGTAATCTCTGAAAGAAAATATTTGATAGAATACAAAAAAATATGTACAAATCGAATTTAATCGAATACCAATGATTCTTGCATGTTGTTAACATTATGAAATATGACAAGATGATCGTTGTGACTACTGTCACTTTTACTTTTCAAATCAACCGGTTCCGAAATCCATTTTGTATCGTTATAGCATGGAATCTAATGTAGAGAACAGAAATAAACGAATAAATACAAATGAAGATTTGCTAAGATTTAAATATCGACATTGGTCTTTTCGAACTATAGCGACTTTGGACACATATATTAAATTGACACTCATCAAAATAATAGAATAATGAACGAACTTTTAGTAACTTAGTGAACATGTTTGTGTTCATATATAGCTGGTATCATATGCAAAATATGGATGAATTATCATAATTCAAGGTAATCAATTGTGAAAGACGAATTCGATTGCAAGTCATAATAAATATTTTTCAATTTATCTTCGTAAAAAAGTGAATTTTTATCCAGACTATCGATTTCGGTATCCTCTATAGGAACTATTGCACGAGAAAAACGACAGATTATCATAAGACCATGCTCAATCGATGTTTCAGAATTGCTTCTCACTAGTCCTATCTTGTTCAGCATGTGTGAAAACCTGTTTCTCCGCCAAGACAAATGATGGAAGAGGAATTTTTTCAGCCTATGTAGTCTATCGCACGGTCTGTCCACTACTGCGATCAGATCGCTTTTACCCCTGACCTTCAGCCCGATATCGAAGGTCTTCTGAGGATCTTAGAGGTTTATATTGTTTGACGCTGTGCTCGAGCGTATGGCTTAGGTATAAAACGATTAAAGTGTGGACTATACGAATCCGGTCTCAAAAGTTTGGAGTCATATAAGGATCTCTAGAAAACCTTTGAAGGTTTCTAGAAACTGCTAAAGTTTATCAAAGAAGTTTTTAAATTACATAATTGGAAAGAGCACGAAATTCTGAACAAAATAAGGTATCACTCATAGTTTTTCTAAGCCATAAATTCGACAACCTAAAAATTAGGTTTTTATAGTAAACCATTTATGCTCGAACATCTGTTATTTTCTCACCTTTTTAAAGTAATGGCGAAAATTATGAGCAATATCTTATTTTATTCAGAATTTTGTGCTCCTTTCAATTATGTAATTTAAAAACTTCTTTGATAAACTTTAGCAGTTTCTAGAAACCTTCAAAGGTTTTCCAGAAATCCTTAAATGACTCCAAATTTTTGAGACCGGATTCGGATAGTCCACACTTTAATTGTTTTATACTTAACTCGTACGCTCGAGCACAGCGTCAAACAATATAAACCTCTAAGATCCTCAGAAGACCTTCGATATCGGGCTGAAGGTCAGGGGTAAAAGCGATCTGATCGCAGTATTGGATAGACCGTGCAATGGACTACATAGGCTGAAAAAATTCCTCTTCCATCACTTGTCTTGGCGGAGAAACAGAATCTTTATTTTTGCTCTCCATTTTTTCGATACTGCATTTTCCATCGAGCGGACTCTAGAAAACAGTCCAGAACTCCGAAAGTAAAAGTCCTAGAGGGCTCAAAATTTGTAGGTTTTTACACATGCTGAACAAGGACTAGTTAGAAGCAAATCTGAGACATCGATTGAGCATGAGCGTTGTTTCTCTCATACAATGACTCATAGGATACGACACGCAGCATATAACTTGTATGTGTTGGCAAATGTACCCTACATATCTTCGAACATTATGCGCATATATTTTTATAGAGGATCTTGTGGTAAAAAAACACTCGATGCCAATGCCGAGACTTTGTTTCATGTTTCCCATGTAGTCAAAATTGGCAGGAAATCGACGATTTTTTAGCGATTAATCAGCCGCTTAATCGTAAATAAATCGGCGATTTTTTAATGATTTTACAGATTACTCACAATTAATCAGTTAAAAAGAATTCTTTTTGCAAAATGGATTTTTTGCGTGTTTTTTGTTTGAGGATTTCAAATTTTTCAGCCATTTTATACACTAGAAAGTTTTTTGATGGAAGAGAAACTTGTGTTCTACATCTTGTCAGAGCCGGATTCTTCAATTTTTTCTGTACGTTTTCCAGAAAACTGAGCTTTTTCTCACAAGAATATTTTAGTGAAGAATATTTAATGTTTAAAATGTATTCAGAAATAGTTTTTTGAAAAGATAATAAACAAAATTTCGAAAAATTGGGCTTTTTCAAGTAGTAGCGGCAAGTCTTGGCTACATTTTCACACCAACTCGAAATTTGCATCATTAAAATTGGAGAAGGAATCAAGGATATACGGGTACCTCTACTTTTAGCCCTAAATGTTGAGATAAATCTTGAAATATTGAGTATTTGGTGATGATGCACGGATCTCGAGAACATAATATCATGACTGTAGAACATTCATGTTGATAAATATTAAACAATTAAGAAAAAGAAGCTCTCTGTTAGAGAACGTACCGTAAATGTCAGCACGGACTTTTTGCTACCCGAAATGCTATGATACAAGTGACTCGGTTTCAATTCGACTTGTTCGACAGTCTAAATATAAATAGAAGATGTTCAGTTGATGATTATCGAAAAATCTTATTGTTCATTCTAGTACATATTTAAAACCGAAAATAAACATGTCTATTCTACTCACATCAATCCCACATTCGACATCAACCGATAACAGATTAATGAGATGGAGAGCCAGTTTGACATAGATATGAAATGAAGTTCGATTAGGTTCATCTGTATTTTCTGAATATGCTTCTTTCGATTCTTTGTAGAACTGAACAAGAAAAAACGAAAACTTCGTGTAAAAAAAATCAAATTTACAATTTTTTAACAATCAAACGAATACATACGGCAAAATGAGCATCTTTGCCATTTGCCAGTTTTAATACACGATCAGCAGATGACTCAGTTGTCCAATCGTACGAAATGAAATCATGACCTTGACTCGTAATGTCAGCTCTTCATAGAATTTATCATAATACAAATACAGTGACAGAAAAAAATTCGAATCTTACCCGTCAATAGTAATAAATAGACGTGAAGTCGTGCGTACATAGAGAAGATCCAATGGAAGATAAAGTTCACTATTGGCTTCGATGCGAGCAACTTCACGAAATGTTCCCATTTCAACGGAATCAATATCCAAAATTATCACTGACATTGTAGCTCTGTTGAAAATCTTTTTTTACAGAAAAAAAAGCGAAATAATTAAAAAAAAAATGATTTTAAGAAATAAAATTTACTTTAATTATTGAACTGAGAACAATTCGTCGACGATCATTGTACAATTGAGAATCACAAAGCAATTGAATAGGCCAGTCCGCTATGGGCGATGGACCCAATTCAAATACTCGTCTCCATGTTTGATTGATATCGACAGCTTTCATTTGATTATCAATCTAAACAGTACAGATATGTTTCAATGAATTATCATTTAAACAAAGAAACTCATCTTTACTTTAACAGAAAATTCTTGTCGTCGATTTGCAATTTGTTCGGCAATAGCTGGAATTCGTGTTGCCGATAATCGTTCAACGGGTACTGTCAATGGAATTGAATCTTCATGTTTGAGATGAATTGGAAGTTCTAATTGATGATCTTCGAGAAACTTTAAAGAAAAATCATCTTTTTCATTGTAACAATTCTTTTAGTTTGTAAAATTCTTTTCCATTGTAACAATCGATAAACTTACTTCGACACCGCCTATATTGTCAATGGAAACATCACGTCCGGTCATATTAAGTATTGATAACATTGATTGATCATCGTCTTCATTCGAAGCCGATTGTTTATTATTATCATCATTGAACATAGTGGATAGACGCTGAGCAAGACTTAGCATCGTCTTTGTCACGGTTATACTGAGCAAATGGTCTGCTCGAACATAGATTATTGTTTTAGCATTCAAATTTTTTGTATTTTCTTTGTGTTGTTGTTCAGTATTCGATGACGATTTTGGATCATCGAGAAGGAATCGTGACTGAAAAAGTGATAATAGAATTATTCCTATTTTAACACACACAAATAAGATAAACACTAATTCGAACTTTAAGCGGCAAATCTGAAATACTCCCTAGTGAAACTTCTTGTAACCAAGATCTTGACTTTTTGAACTTTTTCAGTAAGATTATGATTCAAGATCTTGGTCAGAAAATATAGGAATTCAAGAAATTTTAATAAGTCAAGATGCACATAAAGCAAACTTTGAGTGAAATTCGTTTTTGACTATATTATACATATTCTAATTTGTCGTTTGACTGTGGTCTCGCATATCACCTTCCCAGCCCTTAAAACCCTTTTCTTCGTGGAGAAAATGTCAAAATACTGAAAACACCTCAAAAAGTCTAACATTTTTCATTTTCGAAAGAAGTTTCATAGTATTTTCCCTTCGTGATTTTGAGACTCGAGCTTCCTATATTTGGGTTTCTTGTTCAAAACTGAATCTATACACGACATTTTTAAGCGTTTAAAGCTAAAAGTGGAAGTTTGACAGTGTCTCAAACGTTTAAAGGTCCATTCTCGAGGACTTTTGTTTACAAACCCTAATCGTTTCTTGCGTGAAGGACTAGATCTTTGATTCACACATAGTTAGATCGGCCATCAAACGAGCTTTAAAAGTATGAAGAGCTCTTCTCAAATCTTGTTTCATTGCAGAGAAAGTAGACTTTTTTGAAGTCAGAGGCGAAAAAGTCGGTGTTCTGCCGGTAATTCTCAATTTTCCGAAACTCAACTTTCAAGCAATAAAAATCAAACGCTGATCGACCGATGTGTATTTATATCCTATCCGACTACTTTAGTTTTTTTTTAATTTTTACGTCGAAAAATTACCACCCAAAACTGAAAATCAACCGAAAGTTTCGAAATACACAATATACATCAGTCGACTCAGCTTTTGATCCTGATTCCGAATCAGATATTTTTATTGCTCAAAAGGTGACTTTTGATCGGAAAATTGAGAATCACTAGCAGAGAACGCCGACTTTTTCGCCTCTGACTTCAAAAAAAGTCTACTTTCTCTGCAATGAAACAAGATT